ATGATTATTTCGGTTTTAATGGGTTTCTATCGTTATAGATTGTTGAGTACCAGGGGTGTTAGGCAATACTTAACATGATTATTCTGATTTTGATGGGTTTACGTCTTTGCAGATGTTTTAGATTAGGCTTCAGGGAGGATTTCGGACTAGGTGTTTTAGATTAGGAATCAGGGGGGATTTCGGGCTAATTGTTTTGGAGTATGTTGCAGGTTATGCTTCGGGTCAACATATTTCGTTTAAAGGGTTGCTGTTTCGTATTAAAAACATAGATCTTTCGGGGGGGTAGCATATATATATATATATAAGTATTTGTATACGTATAAGTCCGTCTGTGTGTGTACATATATATATATATACATACATATATATATATATATCTGTGTGTGTGCGCGTAATTATGCGTTTCTGTGTGTGTGTATATATATATATATATAGATATATATCTGTATATGTTGCGTGCATGTTTGTGACTGCGTATATGCATATGGTGGGGACCCGCTCAGCCCCAAGGCCTGTATCTAATGAGCATATGCCTTAAAGATATATGGGGGGCTCAATATGAAGCTTTACGGAATATTGGTAATTAAGTTGTATTACGATATAGGGGGCTAAACATGATGCTTGTAGTGAAAGGGTATTTCGTTTCTGCGCATGCGTTCACACTAGCTGCCATTGACCCTGCGTCCTACTTCATAGAGGCCGAAGCAGTGGTGCTTCTGGGGAGCACACGTTTAGGCTCTAGAGCTTCGGGCTCGGGGCTGACGATCAGCGTCCTGCAGCTCTGCTCCGGCCACCCACGATCCCACCCTTAATCATGAGAATCTGGCCACAGCAGCCATCCCGCACATTCATCGATAAAGCAGCACCAGAAGTGTGACCAAAACCCGAACCCTGACCCACCGAAATCCAACTTTCTGCAATCCAAGAAGCCGAGCATCATGACTCAGCGTGTATTCTTTTCACTTGAAGTGAAGAGGGTCTGTTGTTCTCCGGTCAAGAGACCACTACGCATGCATAGAAGCTGCGGCAAGGTCTCACGTTCAGCTCATGCCTTGCATAATTCCTTTAGCCATGCCCCAGAACTGACGACAAGCTTCAGCAGTCAGCCATAATTATCCCTGTTCCATGGTATATAGTACGGCTTAGGGTTTCTGAGATTTCAGCCATGTCTATTGCCGTGGACTTCATTTTGACACCTCATATCTGCCGTTAAAACCCTGAACCCTGGACCCTAAGAGTTTCATGACTAGGAGCAGTAAAATGTATATTGTTCTTTGGAATTTTAGTTGGGTTTACTCTGATTTAGGGTCGAGGCTTCCATTTCCCTAAGGCTCCAGGTGCCTATGTAGTATATACTTAGGACATCTTCGGACTAAAAGGGGATGCCTGGTCGTTGGACAATTCTGCACCACTGAGGAATTCGCGTAATTACTCTGACCTCGCTTCGACAGACCTGTGTATCCCAACGCCCATCCAAGAGTGAACTGGGGATGTCCAGGATATCAGGCTGTGAATTCGGATATGCTCCTGCTGCCCCTGTTTACACACAGACCGAACTAAAACCATCTCAGGGCCACAAGCCCCAAGCGCCACTAAGCCTAGACTCAAACCCTCAACCATAAAGCTGAACCGCCGGAAGTCTGCAACGCTTCACTTACCAAAGCTCGATCCCTCAAACATTATACTCATGACTTGATTGCTCTAAACCTTGCGAATGAGTGTGCGGGGGCTTGGGGTATAAGCTTTAGAGTTGTGGGCTGAAGTTGAGACTCTTCTGACTTCCACTGATCGAACCTCATTAGTAATCGAAACCCTTGTCCGTAACAAACACGCGGAATCACCCGTGATCTCTGCGGCTGCGAATGGTCCAACTATGTGCTTTTCTACAGTCTTCTCTGGGTCTCCACACACAAAAGCAGGTACCAATTGTGCAATATAGGTGAATAACTTGAACATTTGCGATTGTGATCTTTTCCAGTGATTCACACCCCTTTCCTGCCCTCACAAACCCTTCAACAACTCTTTAACACCCTCAGCAAACATATCAAACCCCCTGTATTCCTGTGTATCCCACGGCATGAACGCCACAAAGCCCAACTCCTGCCTAGAGTTTTGCTGTGGCACAGACTCCTCGTCTGCAGAAGCGTTTGATAGGGCTTGCTTATGGTTAGGGCTTAGAGGTTAGGCTTTAGGACTTTAGGGTTTTAGGGTCCGAAGGACTTAATCTTTGGGTGTTCCATGCTTGGATTCGGGACTGGTCATTTTCATAAGTAGTATTTGGGAGTGGGTATGATTTCAGGCCCTTGGACGCTTCGGGGAATGGTGTCATAGGAATTTCACGGCTTTGGACTTTTTTTGATTTGGTGTGTCAAACCTTATAAGGGTTAGAGTTTGGGGATATAAAGTTGATGGGTTGCGTACGGCAGTATTTAAAGTTTGGGGTTTGGGGTTTGGGTGAAGATTAGGGTGCTCAATTTCTGAAGCTCCAATGCAGGTCGTGACCGTTCAGCCCCCAACCTCGTTTTGAAGAAAGAGAGCTCCGAGCAAGAACAGCCCTGAAGCCCGCTCGCACACAGCCGTCGTCGCAACAACCAGCATGAATCAATACCGTCAATACCCGTGAACCCTAGCTAAACCCTAAACCCTAAACTCATGAACCCTAATAGGCTTGAACCCTAAACCCATGAACCCTAAACCCTAAACTCATGAACCCTAAACCCTGCTATCCCTACTACCCCTAAGCCCGAAGCCCAAGGTCCTAAACCCGAAGCCCGAGGTCCTGGGTCATGATCGCGGGACCACTGGTGGTGGTCATCCGCACTCCTTCGACGGAGCTCTCGCACTGAACTTTCAGAGCCTTCATCTTGGCTTCTCTGAATTCGGGGCTCGAAAGAAGGACCTTGAAAGGGACCCGCATGTAGAGAAGTAGACACATGTTGCACAGCAGAAGGGCTTAAATCCAGGAGTTGGGATTTGATGCTAGACATGGGTTACAGGGCCTCCGTCGGCACATAGGCCTGCATGTGCTAGTGCTCTTTGGCGGCAACTTCTACGTTTTTTGTTGAGCTTTGGCTTGTCGGTAGAGCCTGGACCCCAACTGTGACACATCCGGTTTAGGGTTTAGGGCTTAGGGATCAGAGCGAGAGAAACAGAGTAATTAGCTCTCAAAGAGTCCACAGTCTTTCAGGCTTCAACTGATAATCAAAGGCTTTTCTGGATACTACCGAACTCTGACGGTTGACCAATAAATCCCCTTCATGCATGGTCCAGTTATAGCAGCAAAGCATCACAAAGCTTAGTTGTTAAGTGACTCACTGTCTTCCTGCATCACTCAACCGAGTTATTGAACTTCGCACGTAGTCATGTCTGCGCGCCTCTCTTATCCCAGGCCTATAGCACTTTATAACACTATGCCTGTCTTCGGCTTTCTTCTTCTAAGGCTCTGCGTCAGCTAAACTCTACACCTTAGTAAAGCTGAAAGGTGCAAGGTCCGGCGAAAAGAATGCCGGCACCCCGTCGGCACTGCTCGGTTTAGGGTTCAGGGGCTGTTCTTGCTTAATGTCCTTCGAGGGACTTTTGAAGATCCCTATTCCCAGGCTCCGTAAGCCTCGAACCCCATGGACCCAAGCCCACCGGCCCAAACAGAAAGCCTCAAGCACGAGAAGAAGATGGCCCCTGACACCCGCCCTTCCCTGCCTCCTTTTACAGCACAGGGGAGGTTTTCCAGCATAGACTCGAGGGCATCTAAAGACCTTTCGCTGGTGTAGCTCTAGTATTGCACTACGGCTCCTGTTCCCTTACCCTCAAGGGACTCATATTTTAAGGCTTTTGGGCCCAAAGATCCTATCATAAAAGGCTTTTGGGCTAGTTTGATGCTAAGGGGTTCTGTTTATCTGAGGAGCCCAATCACCACCGCTGAAACCACCGGCGACCCAAAGTAGGCAATCCTGAAGAAGCTTGTCAGCAGTATAGGTTTAGGGTTTAGGGTTTAGGGTTTAGACCCCGAAAAGTTGGAAACCCGATTAAGGACAAATAGTGCTGGGACTGCTGGGATTCCCTATACATTCATCTTAAGGATTGAGGCTATTGGGCTTCCCTAACTTTTAGGGCTTCTACGCTATTCCCATGCAACTACTACAGCCATGCGGGCTATTGCTGTAACGCGGCCCGTTTCGTCCCATCCCGGCTCGTCCAGTGAGTAGGTTCATTGAATTGCGTCTGTGTGTTGCTTCTGGCTTTGCATCTGGGAGTTTCCGAAAATCAGGGTACATTATTTTGGGGTCCCTATAATAAGGATCCCACTATTTAGGGTACTATATTAGGGTCCCCTATTTTCGGAAACCCGCATCAAGTTCCAGCTTTTGCAAGGTTCGTAGTCCCTAAACCCTAAACCCCATACCCTAAACCTTGTTGCACCTCAGACCCTGACAACGTTTAACAGGTTCTCATGGCTCCAGGACATTAGGGGCTTATGACATGGCCAGGGCTAGCTTATCTGGGGGGGTCCTTAGCATTGGGATCCAACTATTCAGGGTCTACATGGATATTTTAGGGGCCCCCAAGCCCATAAACTCTAAAACATTCTAAGACCTAGTTGGGTTCTGAGAAGGAAACTCCTGGGTATGGTAGCGTGACGGCAGCTGGGGGACTTGATTCGACCTCCTCCGTTTCTGAATGTCTACGCCTAGTAAACCCGGAAGTTGGGACACCGGGGCGCTGAAGTCTTAACCCTGCTGTGGAGCACAACCCATGGGCAGTAGCCTAACTTAAACCCTGAACCCCGAGCCCTAAAC